AGTAATTCATGACTTTCATAATTTTTCATAGCACAGCATTGGTAGCATAAGTGGGAAATTCCAAAATTGCATATAAATTTTCATGTTGTAAAATTAAAAGTTTTTCAAGATGTCTGATGTGTTTCACAACAATGCAAATATAATAAAGATCATGGAGATATATACTAAATATGGTTAAAACTGTAAGTTTCTTATTATATTTATTTATCTACAAAAAGGGAATAAAGCACACAGACATTTAAATTATATATATTTATATATAATTAAACATTTAAATCATATATATACTTATATATAATTAAACTTTTAAATTTGAGATATAGACATATATATAGTTATCTATATCTATATCTATATATGTATAGATATAGATATAGATATAGATATAGATATAGATATAGATATGAAGTGATTACCACATATCAGTTTTACCTAAACACAAGGAAAATCCTAACACTCTTGTGGATACTTGTTTTTCTTTCTTTTGTGCTGGGAAGTCCTTAGAGATTACAATGACATAGACAAATCTGGGTAATGATGTGCTCTGTGTTTCTGGCCTCCACTATCATAGAGTGGTCAATAGTCAGCCCCTGCCTCTGAGCCCTTCAATTTGGAGACTCTAGTCTTGTAAGAACCACACCTGTGACCCAGTCCCTATGCTTATCTGCATCAGAAAGCTTCTGTCTTTGCATTAATTTAAATCCAATGGATAGAGCCTGAATTTCCACTGGGCAGCAGACACAGGAGGATGCTTTGATGTTTTCTTGTTGACTATGACTGCAGACAAGCACCTCATTGCATAAGTGCAGAGGGACCTTATGTACCCTTGTAAGTACGGTATCCTTAACATGAAGAGAAAAGGAAAGTTTGGGTAGAAAGATCAGAAGAGGTGAATGTGAAAAATATGATTTATGTGAAACAGAAATTTTATAATTTTGTACCGGAAAAAAGAGAATTGGTGTTTCAAATTTGCATTCCATGCCCTGTTTCTGTTTCCCATTTTTGTCTCATCCATAGCAGAAGAACATCTGCCCTTCTCAGCTATGTCTAAGCACAGCAAAAAGACAGTGAAGGCGGGTTTAGGATGTGAAGGAGAACAGTGAACATGGCATCATGTACTGGCACTGAGGGTTTCTTGGGTGCCACAGCATACTACTCAACATCTTTGCATTTAATCTTTAATCCTTGTAGCTTTACTTAATATTTTTTGATGCAGGGCAGGTTTGTAACATCTCTAAGGCAGCACTGACTTTAGTGTTGATTTCTCTGTAAAACTAAAGCACTATGGATTATACATGAGGAGAGTTGCAAATGGGGTTAATGTATAACAATAGAGAAAAATACAATTAGTTTTCACTATTATTAATCATAAAAATAATCTTCATACCAACTATGTCCTGTGAACTGAAGTCAAAATCTTTTACTATTTCTATAACAGGATATTTTATTTTTATCCTTGTGTATTTATATGCATATGTTTGGAGAGGAATGATGTGCTAGCCTTTATATCTGATTCTCCAGAATCTATACTATGCCTGGCCCAGAGGAGGCTTCAAAAATAAAACTGCTGTTAAACTTGGACAGGATTCTTCCTTGAACCACAATAACTTTCCTTACCCAGGACAACATAAACATCCTTGCTTAATCCCTATCTGCATATCCATTCCCTTCCTGTAATATATCGTAGATGAAGAGACTATGAAAATATCTCTTGTTTGTGTCTCTGTCATGGGCATATCGAGCCAATAATCCATTTACTTGCATGTATATTCATGATTTAAAAACACAGCAGAGACACACATGGTTTTAAAAAGGTCCAAAGAGAAGGGAGCAGGTGAATATGTGCCTCAGGCTGAGATGCATTGCAGAGCTTCACATCACTCCAGGTTCTAGGGCAATTTGAATGTTGTTAAGTCTACCTGTGAGAAGCTTCCTCCTTCCATAATGCAGGAACTCCTCATTTTAAAGCCAAAGCTCACAGTGACTACAGACTTAACGTCTAAAGTTCTTTAGTTGATACAGTTGTGCAGAAGGGTGAGAGTCCCCTTATTTTCCTTAAACAACAGAGAGGGGGAAAGGTTCACTCAGAGCTTGTGCATGGTGGCAGTGAGTGATGCAGGTTCAGTGTTCTTTTCCCAAGTGCCCTCCCAGGAATAAGTCCCCTGCCCAGGGTGAAAACATTCCTGGTTTTTTTTAATATGATGATGAGATTTCTTTTTGTCTTATTTTAAGGAGATAATTGTTGCAGAGGCTGCAGGGACATTTTGAAGATAGCTCAAGAGTAAGTGGATGAGAGGGATAATGACTGACATTTTTGGAAAACAATCAAGCATTTAAAAAATATTATCTGTTGGAAAACAGAGAAGTACCACCCACCACTATTTTTTCCTATAAATTTTCACTTGTATAGCAAAAGAAGCATAAGCATTTTAAAAACATCGTCACACGAATGCACTAAATTTACAATTTAAATGAAAAATCTCCAGGTTATTATTTGCATTCCTAAAACACACTTAAACCCTTTGTATACATTGCCTACTTCTTTCCAAGGGCAGAGGTTTGTATTATACATGAGTTACATTAGCTTTAGAAACTTTGAAGTAATTTTTAAGAAAACAGACAAAGTCAGTTGTGACTTAAAACCTTCAACAGGAAAATAAATTCGTACCAACAGCTTACTTTGAGGACTAATTAGCAAGAGAATGAAATTATAGAGAGATGCCAATTCAAATTTCAAAGATAATTTTTCAGTCTCTAAAAACATGTTTTTATATACATGTTTATAAACATGTGTTGATATGTAAACATTATTAAATATGTTAACATGTGGAAAGGACACATTAGTGGAATTTTTTTTGAATGCAAGAAAATATTCTAATTCAGTGTTTCTGTACCTATTGTAAGAAAATTAGCAATAGTTCGACCTTAAAGTGATTGATATGAGCACTGAAAATGTTTTCCTATCTGTCTGTCTGTCTGCCTGCTTACATAAGTGTTTATCTGTCCACCATTTATCATTTATCTATCAATGGTTCACATGATGCCATTAAATATTTTGAAAATATTTTTATACAATAACCATAAATGACAGTGAATGTTATGCCCATTTTATAAATGAGAGGAAGCTGCTTTAATTAAAAGTCTGTTTCCACAACTTCATATGCTTTTTCTTTTGTACTTGAGTTTTCAGGTGTGCAACACAATTTTGTGTAGTTGTTTTTGCTATGTCTCAACTATAGCATGATCTAACAAAAAGTATCCTAATTTCCTTCATATAGATAAAATGAGAGAAAAAGCAATGCGATGTCAGGAAAAGTTGATATGAAAAATCTGTCAGTCAGAATTATCCACCTTTGAAATCAGTGTGCGCTTTGAGGTTTTCATAGTTTCTAAAGTTTACCTCTAGAATTTCGTATCAGAGGAACAGTTAAGCAGATTCCCTTGCCACTGTGGAACACACAATTTAGAAAAACAGGACAGCACTGTATTTAGGGCTATTTTAGATTTTTAGAGTAATTAAAATAAACCTGTATACAATTTTAAATGTCAGACATGCTTATTACCACCTATTACTTCAGTCTTTGACAGGTATTCTATATACTAATGCCACATTCACAGTTATTATATACGTATTACATGTACTAGAAAAAGCATTACATAAATTTATACTCACCATAGAAAAGCAAGAAGTTATATTTTTAATAAGTTGTATATAATGAAGGCTAAATGAGCTGCTATATCCAGGAAAGATGGGAATAAATGATCAAAGAATGTTGAAACCTTCCTGGAATTTCAGTGGGTCAATAACATGTATCAAGATTGTAAACTATTAGCTTATATTTAAGATTTAGATAATACATTCTTAGAAGGTACAGTTCTTATAGACATCCTAGGTCAAGAGAAATTAGCCACTTCTCTGAAAATAAAAATGTGTACTTAAAGATTTTCTTCACTAGATTGCTGAAAGTGTTATGCTTTAACCTGTATTGTTATGTTGTTATGCCCCCTTTTATCTCATCCTCTCCCTTATTCATTAAAAAATCATTTAATTTTTTAAAAAAATATATCAACCAATAAAAAATGCTCCTGGTTCTGTAGGGAAAAAGAAACCCTTTACAACTGTGGGTTAGAGAGTAGATTAGTATAAACACTGTGGAGATTCCTCAAAAAATTACGATTAGAGGTCCCATTCAACCCAGGTGTTCCCCTTCTGTGTATCTTCCCAGAATGATTGAAAAACATCACACCACAGTGACATATGTGGAACCATAAGCTTCAAAATATACAATAGTCACTGTGAAATGGAAGGAAACTGTTTAATAAAAAGAAGAAACTAAGATAGGAGAAAAGATAAAGGATAGAAGGGAAAAGGAAAAAAAGTGCAAGTTAGTTATACCATTAGTGTCACTTAGTTCACTGAATAGGAAAGGTTGTGCTAATATTGATTGAAGTAATTTTTATGCCCACATTTTGTACTTGAGTGACTAAAGATAATGTTGTGTAATTTATTAACAATTGTTACTTTTTCATTACTTTGTTGTGAAAATCTGTTTTACCTTTTCTTCTTAATATTAATAAAGTAATAAAAAATAAATAAATGTTTTCTTCTAATAGAATCATATTCTTATTTATTTAATTTATGTATATAAATATAATTCAGTATATTTATACAATTTAGCTATATGTAATGATAAAATCCATCATAGGGAATTTGTACGTATATATTATATATTTTGATTCCTTTTTTTCTGATTTGTAAAAAGTGTTCGGTATACTTTACTGGGCTCATCATAATCCAAATTCAAAGATTCTAACATCACCCCTCACAGTGTCTGTAACAGAGGACACAGAGCAAGGTGGATAACACAAAACCCAGTAATGAGCTCTGAGAATGGGGTTTGTCACATGAATCGGTATGTTTTCAGGTTCGTGAACTTCATGTGGGTATACTTTGCAGGTGACTACTTGAGTTTATGTTGTACAGAGCGTCTTGTGTGCTCTTCATTCATGTCATTTTTCTAACCAATTTTTTGGAAAGGTATTCAAACACTATGGAAACACATAATCTAACCTACGCCTCAGAATTTCATCTGTTGGGCTTCTCAGAGGACCCAGATGTGCAGCCCATCCTCTTTGGGCTGTTCCTATCCATGTACCTGGTCACAGTCCTGGGGAACCTGCTCATCTTCCTGGCCATCAGCTGTGACTCCCATCTCCACACCCCCATGTACTTCTTCCTCTCCAGCCTCTCCATTGTCGACATCTGTTTTGCCTCTACCATGGCCCCAAAGATGATTGCGGACATCCCGGTTCACAGCAGAGTCATTTCTTATGTGGGCTGCCTCACTCAGATGTCTTTTTTCAACATTTTTGGTTGTATGGATGACTTGCTTCTGACTGTGATGGCCTATGACCGGTTTGTGGCCATCTGTCACCCTCTGCACTATGCAGTCATTATGAATCCTCGCCTCTGTGTATTACTGCTTTTGGTGTGTGTCTTTATTAGTCTTTTGGACTCACTGCTGCATGTTTTAGTTGTCATGCAATTTACTTGCTTCAAGACTGTGGAAATTGATAATTTTTTCTGCCATCCTACTCAAATCCTTAACCTTTCATGTTCTGATTCTCTGATCAAAACCCTGGTCACGTATTTTCTTACTGCCACATTAGGGTTTTTTCCCATTTCAGGAGTTCTTTTCTCTTACTGTAAAATTATTTCCTCCATTCTAAAAATATCATCATCCGGTGGGAGGTACAAAGCCTTCTCTACCTGCAGTTCTCACCTGTCTGTTGTTTCCTTATTTTATGGAAATGGTGTTGGAGTGTACCTTGGTTTAGCTTTTCCATCTTCTCACAGCAAGGGGATGGTGGCCTCACTGATGTATATTTTGGTCACACCTATGCTGAATCCCTTCATCTACAGCCTGAGGAATAGGGACATCATTAACACCCTGATGAGGGTTCACCGTTGGAGAATCTAATTTCAGATTGTGTGGCATCCTATTGAAGTTGAGTTTTGCAGACCTAGTGAAATTTTATCCCTCAAACTCACCTGTAAATCCAATTTTATTGGTATATGTTCTCAGAAGACTGATGTCTTCTATATATTTTTGTGATTCATGTGAAATTTATGTCAGATTGGGTATCAGTAGGATTTAGATTTATTCACTATGCTGAAAAGATTCAGTTGGTGAGATGAAAGATGTGTAATTTTTTTATTGTAAAAAAATGGTGATGTGGTTAATACTATCAAATGGTGTTTAAACCTGGCTGAAATTGCTCATGCATTTATGTATTGTTTTTACCATGATAAACAATTGAAATTAAAAATTAAGACCTTTCTTAGAAATTATCTTCCTGCATATCATGTACCATGATCTCTGAACTCACTAGGTATCCCAGGCTAGCCTTTAGCTCAAAAGGATGCCCATGCCTACTCCTGAGTGTTATGCTTACAGGTGTTCACTACCATGCCAGGCACAGTATACTAGGTAAAAAGAAAAAAAAAAAATAACAATGTGAACCACCCACTTGAGATTCTTCACAAATAGAGCAAACCTCATTCTCTCTGTGAAAATTCCTTTTCTCTTTTTTAAAAATAAAATTCCATTAAATTTCAGAAATCTTTAAATTTGGCTAATATGGTCCAATTTCTATATTTAAATGTGTGCATTAAAATATGAAGCTCACATAGTAATACATAGACATTAATTTTGATGATTCAAGAACTGTTGGCAACATTGTCCTTCCTCATGGATTCTTAGATGTAAAGCCCATGCCCATCACTGTTAATTTTCTGGGTTGATCTAAGTCTTCTACTGGCCTTCAGCCATGTTAGAGGTGATAGTCATAGATCTGGACATAACCGAGTAGAGACACAGCCTTACCCAGTAAGTGCCAATGCAGAGAGTGAATAGAGAAAGGACTATTGTAAACATTTTTTCTTGAACATGAGCATGAGCTCTTGGATAGTGAGGTGGAAAGACTTCTCCACCAGTATAGCTGTGAGTACTGTGAACTTTATCCTTATTTGTCCTGAAGGGTCCAAAAGTCCCCAAATCATCTTTTACTCACCCTGGTCCTATTTTCTGTCAACATCTACTTCATAGTAGTACATTTTATGTGTGTGGAAACTCTCTACTCAGCTCCCCAAAATAGATTGTACATAAAATGATAAAATGATGACAGCATTATGAATGAACATTAAAGGATTTATAAATGGCAGCATTGATGTAAATTGTTTCATTTTGTGTGCATAATATTTCTTAATTAAACCTTTAATGTCATTATATTTCAAGGTCAAAAAAGAGCACAGCAATCAACTATAGTTGTTGGGTAGAAAATGAGGAACAAGGGGTGGGAGACTTAGCTCAGCAGTGTAAGTGCCTGTCTGGCAAGCGCGAGGTTGGGAGCTCGATCCCTGGTATGGGGAAAAAAAATGAGGAAGATGTGAATACACAAGGCGGACTGATAAAACATACAGGGCATCTAACCAGGTGAATTCAGCACACAGTTCCTTTTACAACCCCCACACATGTACATCTCCTCTATGCCTCCAGGAGGGGTTTCTTTATCACTGTGCACCACTCTTTGGGATTCCAAGTAGATCCCATGAGAAAGAAGGAGAATGCTGACTGCATTCACTATAGGGATGACTTCTGAAGTGAGAGGCAAAGATCAAAGATATGAAAGATTCACAGTGGCTGGTACTGATTCCGTTTATTTTCTGTACGCTAGGCCTTTCTGAAGCTGTCCACATCCTTCTGCAATCTTTTGTTCATTATCCTCATTCTCATCCAGAGAAATCACCTCAGGATTTGATTTCATTCCTTCTCTAGAAAGAGTTTAAACTTCCTAAGACAAAAGTGTGATATTCAACTCTGAATCTCTGCTGGACACATTCCAATTTTTAAGAAAAAAAGAAAAATGTAGTGGATAAAATGTGTGGATCTACAGTTTCATTTTAAGTGCTATTTACACCCCTTTTTTTCTGCAACATACAGCAGGGTATTTCTCTCTCTGAGACCCAACACAAACACTGAAATTGATTTCTAGTTGGCACAACTATGTCCAGTATCAATTAAAAAGATAATGAATGCACCTCTTGTTTTTTAATCAGTGATGGAGATGTAAATATAAATAAAAAATACAATTCAGGTATTACTAACAAAACTAGTGATAAAAGACTCAATTTCTTTATACTCTAAGAAAATACTTGGAGTTTGAAGTTGTAGTTTTGATTTCTCTATAATGGGACATCTTGCTATTGCCTGTGTTTATGCAGATGTTTGAAAGAGATTAAAGGGGGAGAAAAGTCAGCATTTCCCAAGAATCACCCATTCTGAGGGGCCTAACCAAGAAAGCAAGGATCCTTCCTGTTAAGCTGTGCAAGATGTGGACCCACCAGGGAGAGAACAGCTTCTCCCTGAGCCTGCCAGCTTGCAGGCTGCGAATCAAAACTCATCCTCTCCTCCACACCCCTGTCCCTGCGTTAGCAACCAGAAAGTCATCCGGAGTTGAGAGCAAGTAAGTTATGTACATCAACCAAATGCTTGTAATGCTGGGCTGATTATGCTGAACTAAGGCCAGTGGTCTGAGCTTCTCTTGGGACACTGACAGTATGCAAAATAGCAAGTATGGGGGATTGTCTTCTATCTTGTCTTTGAAGTCAAATATTGTTTGAAATGTTTTGCTTTGTGGTGATTAATTGTTTTGCTCTACTCTGTTTTGCAAATATTCTGTTTTGATTGGTTTTATAGTGTTTTGTGTTGTGTTTGACTTTTCTATACCTGACTGAATTGACAACTATTATAAAGATAACCAGATATACTATGGTATCTATTACTGTTATTCTGGTATCCTGCCCTGAAGTTATGTACCAACTTCACTGCATTATCTTGATCATCTTTTTTTTGTTGTATTTTACTATCTCTAAAATAAAATTTAAAAAAAACATTTAAAAAGAGAAATATTTAGGTGCTTTCATTTCTGATTCCTCAGCTCCTATGTGATTCCTGGCACCTAGAAAAGTTAAAAATAAAAATCATTGTTAAACAGGGAATAGACATGTACTTTCTCACAAGAAGTGGCCACAATTACTGCAGCTTCCACAGGTATTCTTTTCCTATTCTCACTTTCATCCCTCTTAGGAATGTCTCATACAGATAGAGATCAGGTAACACAAGTCTTGTTTGTGTCTATCTTATGGACACATGGCCCATATATCTTTCATTTAACTATGACTACTGTGTTTAAATTTTCAAAGATCATGTCTAAGACTTTATGGGTTTAGAAACAGTAACACATACATAAAGACAACGCAGTGACACCATGAATGACCTTGAGTCATATTTTAGCATTTTGCATCATTTTACACTCCAATGTCTGTTCATAGTTTTGGGAGAGATATATATGCTTGCTACATAATTTCCATTTATGAAAGTCATGTTTTCAAGGAAAACAAGGTATTAGTTGTTCTTGTTACTTTGAAAAGGTAGCACGCCGTGTACTGTGATCAAGGTCTCATCTGTAATATTCTTAATCTAAATTATTCGGATGAGTATTACAACATAACTGTGTACAGAAGTTCGTAGCTCAGAAAACATTACTAAAAGGGTTTTAAGAAGGTGAGGTTTTTCATAACTTACAGACTGCTGAAGATGTTTGAACATGACATGCATATACTTTATTAATGAAAACTTAGTTCAAAATATATTAGAACCTGCTCATCATCCTGGCCATCAGTTATGACTCCCTACTTTATGCCCACGTGTACTTGTCCTCTCCCACCTCTCTTTGACGGCATTGATGGTCACCATGTTTGCAAAACTGATGATGGACCTCCAAACTCATAACAGCATCATATGTAACCATGCCCACTTGTGAAATCATGCCTATTTTGGCAACTTCCTCAGTTTCATAATGAAGTACATTGATAGTGTTATATTCTTTTTCCCTCACTCTAATAAATGTTTTTCTCCTAATGCAAAAATTATCTTCTCACTCTGAAAATCTCATAATCTCATTGGAAGTTTAAAGTGTTATCCTATTATGGGACCTGACTCTTGGTTGTTCAATTATTTTATGGAGTAGATGTTGGCATATATGTTGACTTAGCTATGTCAAGTTTTCCAAGAAACAGTTTGGTAGCCTCAGTAACATGCACTATAGCCTCTCTGTATTGCATCCCTTTATCTATGGGCTGAAAGCAAAGGAATTCTAATCTTAGGATCTGTGGTGTCCAATTGGCGAAAGTTGGAAATATGTAAAACAGCCTGATGACTGAGTTGAAAATTCTGTCTCTTTACTCATGTTAATATTATAGTTTCCTAGCCTTGGATTTTTCATACATGTTATAGTGTATGGCTGGTGAGATGAAAAGAGAACTTTAAAGCTGAGGGCAAAATTTTCAATTTGGAAGAAGGAAAGTTCCTGAAGATGTATGGTGATGACTGTTTCAAAACAGTGTGATCATCATTGACATCACTGAAGTGTGTATTTATATGATTAAGTTTGAAATAGTTCATGTGTATTTCATCCCAAAAGTGAAATAAAAGAAGATAGGCATTTAATAATTACATATAAATATCAGAAGTGATTAAGACACACCAAGCTTTTATGTGATGAAAAGAAGAACCTGAAATCCCTTGTTGGACATTAATTTTCTTTTTTTCTCCTTCATAGCTTAATGTTGGAAAAATCCTTAGAAATGGGGATGGCATGGACCAACCTGGATAATTGTAAGCTCTGTGCACTAAGGATCCAAGGTTGTAAAATATTCAACCATCACCTTGTGCCTCCAGGCTTCACTGTGATGGCTCCAGTCCAATGACCTCCACGCTTGTGTCCTAAATCCCATTGTTGTCAGCATCAGGAAGCTCCTATTTGACTTTGTGTTTGCTTCAATACTCAGGATAGAGCCTGAGGTTTCATGGGGCAGTACACCCAGAAGGGCATTTGTATCTGCGCTCCTTGACTATGA